TGGTTAGTACAACCAGAGGCTCTGGTCATGAAGACCAGAAGCTCTGGAAGAGAGACCAGAGAGGCTCTGGTCCTTGATGTTGAATTATTTTCTAAGTATGGTATACAACCAGAGGGGCTCTGGTCAATACAACCAGAGGGGCTCTGGTCCTAAAGGACTTAAGAGTCCAGACGCTTTAAATTAGAGAGTTTGATTTATAAGATCATAAAATGTTTATTTTGATGTTTTAAGACGTTGTCGAGTTTTAGTCATGGGGTTTGACTAAAAGTTAGTCGGGGTTGACCGAGTTGACCAAGGGTTGACTTTTGACATGTTTGATCCATGTGGATTTTAATGATGGATCAAATAGAGTTGTCTGAGGCATATTAAGATGCTCAGATATGAAGTTTGACTTTAGGTTGGGTTAGAATGACAATAGTTGACTTTTGTTGAATTTTTGAGAAATTAAGACGTTAATGAGATATTATGGTATGAAATGTGTAAGCATTTGGTCAAGAGCTATTGGTAATCATTCTATACGCAATCAGGTGAGTCTTCATGAGACTTACAATGGGATGCATACCTATGTATAAAGTTATTTTCAAGCATTATATGATTTATATGACAATGGGTACATATTCATGATGTTTCAGTTTACATACATGATATATTTTACATGTATGTTGTTTTATGATTAGTTGCATGCTATGTGTTTATTTTGTTTTCAAATAACTCTAGCATGTTATTTCATTTGAAAGTTTGATGATTCAAGGGTGGGCATTTGACCAGTAAGTCACGACCAGTATAAAACACTACCCGGACAAGTGGGTGATCAATTAAGATTAAAATATCAACCCAGGGCGTGTTTGTGACTAAATGACCCATACCCGACAGACAAGTTATGAGATCTCTTTTCTTTTAGTGTTGCATGTTTTTTTTTTCAGAAAATGCATACTATTTGGTACAAAGTTTACAAGTTGAAATGTATGATGTGCAATGATCTTTACTCACGCAAACCATGAACTCACTGAGCTTTATAAGTTGACTATAGTATGCATCTCAGGGACAGAAGGTTTCAGGTTGGACAAAGAAAAAGAAGGGCATACATAGAGACTTGTCTAGTCCATTTAAGTTCAATATTTAKRCGCAATCGTCTATGATATATAAATTTGTAAAGCAACCCGGTATGGGACGGGCTGACATTAAGTCATATATTTATTCTTTTAAAGTCTTTCGCTGTAAACGGTCTAAAGTTTTAATTTAACCATTATTTTTGGAGTACTTTTGGAGAATCTGTTTTAGATTACGTAACATCTCTCATGGTAAAAATGTGGGTGTTACAGACTACACTACAGAATGATTAAGTGATCAGAATGATTAAGAGGCTCACATTATATAGTGCAAAATGAAATGTAATTGTTTGGTAATTGTGTACAATGAAATTAGGGCTTTTGATGGTTAAGGAATAATCATGATACAAAATCATTCAGAGGGTTTTAGAATCATTAAGGGACAGACTTTCATCTTATTCTTATTTTGAGAAGATACTTTCTGAAAACATATTTAACGGCCTATATTTTATTTCCTCATGAAACTTTGGTTCTCAAGCTTTACATGAAATTACCAAAACTTCTAATTGGAGAGAAAACTATACAGTATAAATATTCGTGTGAAACTTTGGTGGTTTATTCACTAGTAAAAAATATCCTCAGTGACGGTTAAAGCCCGTTACTGTAGGTATACAGTAACAGTTTTGGTGGACATTAAAATTATCATGTGACGTCATTTTTGATACACTTTTGTTTACATTTTAAGAACGTTACTAAATCACACAAAAAACCATTACTGTAGACTAAAACCGTTACCTTATGTATATAAAAAAAGTCATTTTTCCCCCTAAAAACATTACCGTAGCATGACATATGGTGATGTTTATTTCTTAGAACCGTCACCATAACATGACATACGGTGTTGTTTATTTGTCAAAACTATCACGGTAGCATTACGTAAATAAGGTTTATATGTCAAAACCGTCAATGCAGCATGACGTACGACGACATTTGTTTTTCAAAATCGTCACGATATCATGACGTACGGAGACATTTATTTTTCCAAACTGCCATTCTAACATAACATACCATGACGTTTATTTTTCAAACTATCACCATAGCACGACATACTGTGTAGCATCCAATTTCTAATATGCCCAATTATTTGCTTAGTATATTCAATTATTGGGTTAAATAGAACTTATGATTTAGTGGGAGTTTGGGTCTGAAGTTTTAGAATTTTATTTCTTAAGAATATATTAGAGGATTTGGGAAAATTTTACGTCGAAAAGATACGTAAACCGGATTTTCTTAGGAGATCTTTTCTGGAATATTGTTGTTGGATGTTATATATTATCTTTTTATGAGCGTGTAGACGAAAACCTCATAGAAAACGGAGTTCCGAGCGAAAAGTTATGAATAATTTAAGTGTTAATGGTCAAAATGGGTTCCTAGCCGAGTCAACCCGGCCCAACTCGAGTTTTAGCATTATAAATTGGAGTTTTGGCCCATTTTTCATGTCATCTAAGTTCAAAACTCACACACACTCTAGAGGTGCGATTTTCACACACATAGGCTTGATTCAACTCAAATCAAAGAGGAACTACAAGATCTTTGAAGGATTTGATCATCAAGTAAGGTATAATCCATTCTTCGCACTTGTTCATGGTGGATATTCTTGTTTTATGGATTGCATATTGAGATAGAGTTAGGGTTTCATATGGGTTTGATCTTAAGTGTATAAAATGRGTGCTTTTTAGTGTTTATGGCATGAAATGGTCATTAGATTCAAGATATTATCAAGATTTATGCAAGTTCATCATATGAACTTTGACTTGATTAAGTCAATGATTTGGGA